TTTTGGGGGACAGCCACTATGGTAAAAGATTCATAAAACTAATATTCTTTGTCTTTAAAATGAATCTGGTTTCTGTTTCGAGTCTGTTGAGCTGCAGTGAGTAGCAGATATACACCCGAGAGGTAGCATGCCTCTGTTCCAGGACAGAACAGTATCTGTGAGATTTAATAATTACTCTGTGGCTCCAGCAAGGAGACACAACAATCCACTTACTTACCTATTATATGTTATTTTGTTCTTTATCTTTACTTAAAAAAAGAAGTTTTCAGTTTTAAATAGAGTTGTATTAGCAGTACCCGAATCTATCTTAAACTGATACCATTGTGTTTTTATGTTGTCCAGGCACTATTGTTGGAGGAGCAAGTAGTGTCTAGGGACAGTATACTTTTAACTAGACAATGATGGTTTTACTAGGCCCTTATCCTGCAGGCCTCTGGGCATTGTACAAATAATTAAAATTAAATCATAAGAAATTATAAACACAGTGCACCTTACCAGACTTTTCTCCTTTTAAATGTGATTTTTGAAATGTATTTTAAAATACATTTCCTTGGCCTAGTGAGTTTCCTTTCTTTTTTCCCAAGGATTATAGAAAGCGCATAGCAAATTCAGCCTTCAGAATACCCAGGAGCTGAAGACTCAAGTAGACTACAGCTGTCTTCACCCACCGTATTCTAAGAGAACTAATGAGATGAGAAGTCTGCAGCTGGTGGCAAGCACAATAAACCATGAGCCAAGGGCTTCTCTTCATCAGAGCCTCCCCTCTCCCTTGGGATCCCAGAGGAGACAGAATACTAACAAAGCCAGCAGGCTGTCTCATTCCACACTATTGCTCATTTGCAGCTATAATTGGTAGCTGAGGTTGCATTCTGTATGCTGAAACTGTCATACATGAAGGAATATATTTGTTCATTGTGATATGGATATAAATCGTCCAGTTTTCAAATACAGAGAGACCAAACCAGATACCTAACAGTAAAACTACAGCAAGAAGATACTGTTCAAAAAATTAAATGTTTATTGTATAAATACAAAACTGAGGTTGTTAAAACTACATCTGCTTCCTCCCTTTACATATCATGCTACTTAATTCAACTGATTAAACATTTACGTATTCAAACTAACATAAAGCACAAGAATTCGTAGGTTTTGACAAGATGCATTATTCTCACCTGTCAGGGTTAAAGTGCTATTGTTAATAATTGGGTTGTGTTACATTTTCAGTGTAATCTCTTTAGTGTTTGCTGCTTTGCATTCAGGAGGAAAAAGCAGAGAGGGAAGACTTTGTTTCCAGCATCCTTGTGTGTATCTACCTCAGGAAGATCCACTTTGATACGTATCTCTGGTGCTGTGGCTTCTTAGCTTTTGAAATGTTTGCCTCCTTGACTTGCTGACACCTCTTGCACTCCTGCATGGCTAGGAGAGCCAGGGTAGAGATCCAGAGAGCTTGGTTCAAGTCTTGAGGGCAGGGAACCATGCCAACTCCACACTGGACTGTGGTGTCCTCATCTATAAAATGGGAGGATGAGCTTCTGTGTTACCTCCATGATGCTGTGAATCCGAAGTTCAGAAAAGCAGCCCATGGTCACTTTGCACTGATGAAGGCTGGCAGGTATCTTTTCTGGAATAGTGTATTGGGTCCAGAGTGGAAACATTTTGACAGAGTGTTCAATTTCTTTAGTTACTGAATCTACTGCAAGTGGGTATTGGAAATGTGTGAAGTTGTTGACCTGGCATGGAGCTGAGGTAGAAGGGAGGAAAGGTGTCTATCTGTTCTAACCCTCCCCAGATTGCCATACTAGCTGGTGATGATGAGAGCAGTTTAGGGAACAAGTCACCCCTGAACTTACTCTGACCTGAGAGTGATTGATTCTGGTCACAATGTAGACCAAATTCTTTTCTTTTTTAAAAAAATATTTTATTTATTATTTTTATGTGTATGAGTATATTGCTTGCATGTATGTGAGTACATCCTTGTCGTGCAATGCTGTGGAAGTCAGAAGAGAGCTTCAGATTCCCCTGGCACTGGAGTTAGGGACAGTTCATAGCTACCATGTGGGTGCTGGGAATCAAACTCAGGTCCTCTGCAAGAGCAGTCAGTGCTCTTAACTGCTAAGCCATCTCTCCAGTTCCCAAATTCTTACTTTCTAAATGGTTGTTTCTAGTTTATGGACTGCCTTTATTTAATACAACTGGTTTTACTCCTGAATTCAACCCTGGCGATTGTTATACACACTTTCTTTTGTGGATTTAGTTAACTTTTTCTCTTGGAGTGGGCAGGGTTAAAATTCACAGCCACTTCAGGCTCCCATCATCAGTTCTGAAACCTGCCCCTTCTTTTCCTTCGTATTTTAGTAAACCCAGCATCAGGGTTTGGCCTCCACGTTGTGACATGTATCATCCACTGAGTATCTTCCTTACTAATGGTACATAAGATAATGGTTCATCCTATAACTGTCAGCCTCTTGGATGTAGAAACATAGTGTTTACTATTCACTTCTCATACCTCAGGTTTTGTACAAACAAAAGCAAAAACATGAGTAGTGTGCCCAGTGCTGCATCACACCTTGTCCATGGGAAAACAGGGAAGCAATTTCCTCTCAAGTAGAGCAAGCTGGAGCATCGTGGCCAGCTTTCTGGGCCTTAGGCTGACTGTTGAATCATCTAATCTAATCTTAGACTTTAGACACAATATGCTCTAATAAGATCTTTCTACTTTTAACTATTTTAAATTCATTTAAAAGTTTGTCTCTTTGGCTGGTTTTGATTCTGACTAAATATCCTCTCTCTTTTCTGTTGGCAGTTAATACATACTTCTCTGGGTTTTTGATTACCATATTTGTTCTGTTTTGTCTGCCTCTTTTGATTAGACTGACCCTTTAGGAGCCAGCCCTGTACTCTGGCCCTCATCATCCTCTGTACTGCCTTTTGTGTGGTGCCTGTTCAGAGTGATTTTTGGTTGCTAAAAGTGATCATTTGATAAAATTTTTTTTTAATTTGGGGGAAAATAGGCTTGTTTTGGTTTTAATTCTGGTCCTCTGAGCTAGAGGAGAATGGTTTTTGAATTTGTGGATTTTATTTATATTAGAATAGCTTCTTTAAAGACAAGTCCCGAGACCACTGTGCAGTTACATCTTTCCTCAGTCTGAATGACCCTGTTGGTTTTTAGGGTGCAGGTCTGATTTGGAGTTTATGAATTTGTCCTAATTGATGGTAATTGAGTTTGGTATTGGTATGCACAGACAAGTTAAGTGACTTGTCCTGCAGGCTCATTCCCATGTGTCCTTCCTGGATAATGCTGACTGCCCTCATGCCCTGGCCACACCACATCGTGTATTTCAAAGCGTCAGAACTAGTGTGCCAGCCAAGTTTGCTTGTTTAATAATTTTAGCTTTTTCTCTAACTTCTTAGGCAACCTTTAGAAGGGCTTCTAGTTCAGGGTCACATATTCACCAATTATATCTCTTTAAAGCTTGGTTTTCTCACTGAGCCTCAGATATTTTTCTTTTCCACATGATTTATTTATAACTTTCTCTCTGATTATTAGCATGCCATATACACTGCCTAACTGGAGTTCTGAGTGGCCACTTCCCAACACATTTTCTTGAAATTGAGAAAGTTTGCAGAGCGTGCTGCTCCATATGTGCTTTCTACTTGGACACTCTTATCTCTCTAGAACAGTGTTTTCAGCCAGAGTTTCCTATCTGCCTTGTCTGGGCATTCATCCTGCAGTCTGTGGGCTCTTCACAAACTCTGTGAAGCACCTCTGCCCAGTTTACTCTCCCTGGAAGAGGCACACTCTTTGCAGTGTTTCAGATTGACCCTCTAGCAGTCCTTTTTGTTTTCTTGCTTGTTTGTCCTCCAAAAATGTTTTTTTTTAATTTCTATCAATAGATTGTGCGTGTGTGTGTGTGTGTGTGTGTGTGTGTGTGTGTATTTTGACAGGAACCCTTTTTTTGCGGGTGGGTATCTTTTGAGACAGGGTCTTCCTGTAGCTACAGCCAACCTGGAGCTCAGGGAGATCTGCCTGCCCCTGCTTCCCAAGTGCTGGGATTAAAGTCATGTGCTACCATGCCTGGAATTGACAGGAACTTTTATAAAAACAGGCTAAAATGTGTTTCACCTTATTTTCTCCATTTTGTCAGGCAGGGGGATTAAGGGAAACAACTAATGTGCATGAAACCTATAGAAAAAACTAGATTCTAGGGTCATCTCTGGCTTGCTATCACTGAGGGACCAATTGGTCACCAATCTCTGCCTCCCATGACAGTGAAGGACTGACAGGGAGGAACTCAGCCCCTCTTCCTGAGGATTCCCTGTGGCACCCTGCCTGCAGACTTAGCCAGGGAGGGAGATCCGAGGCTGCAGAACTGCTGGTTCTGAATTGCTCTTAGTGCAGTGGTTGCTCTCCAGTAGCTGCCATAGTCCAGGGCTGCTGCCCGCGGGCATTGTTGGAAGTGAGGTGACCATACTTTATTTAGTTCTTTAGTGTGGTTATATGACTTGTCAGAACCCTGGAACTGTTGAGGAATGTTGCCGGATTCTGAAGGTAGCTGGCTTACGCCCGTCATGATGGGCTACAATTGGAACTTTTCACACTCACTCCTGGTTACATAGTTGAGATAAATGTTTAAAAAGCAAAGGGGAGCCGGGCGTGGTGGAGCATGCCTTTAATCCCAACACTCGGCAGGCAGAGGCAGGTGGATATCTGTGAGTTCAAGGCCAGCCTGGTCTATATAGTGAGTTCCAGGACAGCTGGGGCTACAGGGAGACCCTGTGTCTAAAAGACCCAAAAAAGAGAAAAGAAAAGAAAAAAAAAAAGCAAAGGAACACAAACAGCAGACAGAACATCCTATAGACACATTTTCCTACTGTGTGAAAGCACAGGGACCTTGATCAGTTTCTGTCATGGGTTTTGGTAACTGCAAAGAGCCATCTGGGAAGGTTAAAGAATGTTCCGTTGTTGTTTTCTCCACCTCTGACTCTGTTGTCCTTTATAGGACTACAAAGCTGATGAAGACCCAGCGTTATTCCAGTCAGTCAAGACCAAGAGAGGCCCTTTGGGACCCAACTGGAAGGTATTGGCTGCTGACCTTTCTGACAGGCAACACAACATTTGACAGGTCCTCAGTCTTGAAGAGCTGGTGATGTTTAAGTGAAAAATAGAATTTTATTTGTGATAAGGACTTAGGGCCAGTCGCAGTTGGCCTACAAGTGTGCTGCAGTAACAGAATAGAGCCAGCCTGTCACTCTCAGCATTGTGCTATGCTGAGAACTCTTTAAGAGACAAGTGGTTTAGTCTTTGGGGACTATAACGCTCTCTTCTGAGAATCCAGGCAGTACAGAAAGAAGTCCATGTTAAATGAAGGTTTATAGTGGAAATTTAGTCTTTGTCAAATGGTTCCCTTCACCCAACTGTGTTTCTGTCCTTTGATAGTTACCTTTCTGGAAGGCAGGACACTAGAGAGCAGTTTTTGTGGCAAGTACTCGTATTCAGATAAAGAGTATACCTTCACTTTGTTCATGGTGGTAGGAAAAGCAAAGGCAAGACAGTAATGACTTGCATAGAGTTCAGCACATTTGAACAATGTCCTCTAAATGAGATGACAAATCCTTAAACAAGGCTTCAGGTGTTGCTGGCCGGTTATTCTGACTAATTTGACAGAAAAGGAGGAGCATGAAAACCCAAACCTGCTTAGCAGATTTTCCACCCACAGAATTTACTTGGCAGCCAAACTGTTAGTTCAGAGGCTGGTCCCTACTTTGGGGAACCAGTACAATGCTGGGTGTTGAGGTAGAGGATTACTGACAGCCCTAGCACTATAATACTGTTTTGTAAACTCTTACACATCAACTAAAAGGAAGGAGGAACCTGACTGTTTCATGTGACACATACCTTTAATCTGAGTTCAAGGCCATCCTGGTCTACTTAGTGAGTCCCAGCCAGGGCTACACAATGAGATCTAGAGCCAAAAAATAAAAAGAAACTAATCATAGTTTGTCATTATTTTTATGTTTGTCCTCAGGATAGAGTTCAAAGTTTCCCCAACATAATGACCACAACTAGTGGTTAATACTCGGACAGTGATAATGTCACTTACAATGAGAAATAGATTCTGTGCGCATCATTGGAATTAACTTGTAGGGGATGGGATTTGTGGCGTGTACCCACCATTTTCCAAGTTTATAGTTGCAGCCACTAGAAGCCCCTGTGAGTTGAGATCTCACATGGTCTTCTGGTGCCAGGGCTCACAAGTGCTGAGACAATAGGCATGTGCCACTTTGCCTAGCATAGCAGGTCCAGGAGCCAATTGGTGCTGCCCTGGAGAAAGCTGGCCCACAGTGATTCCTCCTACCCACAGTTTGATGATCACTTTATCAAAACAATGGTAGGTATAGCTACTCTTGTAAAGTGAGTGTTGGCTAAATGAACTACTGTGACCTTGGAAATAACCAGGGTTATCAAGAATAACAGGTTAAACCACCATTTACTACTGCAAAGGGAAATAAAAAGTAAGATCATGATGGAAGCTGAGCACACAGGAATGAGCACCTATAGCCCTGGCCTGCAGGCCATGTGTCCTACTGTTCAGTGATACCAGGGGTGTGCTAAGGAAGGGGGTAGTTGGAGCTTTCTATACTTGTGAAATCTGAGGAAGTGGTATGGAACAAATGTGTGGTAGACATGACAAAGAGTAAGAATAGCTGCCAGTCTGGAGTGGAGTGAAGGCATGCTGTATGCCTCCGTGTGCTGGTGGTGGGTCTGCAGTGTCTACCTGCTGCTCCAGCAGAGACTGTTGTGTGCCAGTCCACATTCCACAGCTATTCAAGGCTAAGTGAAAACCTCAGGATCTCTGCTTGATTTTATGTTTTTTTCTGTGCTGGGGATCAAACTTGAGACCTGACATGGGTGGGTGGGGTCAAGTGCTCGGCTTCTGAGTTCCACCCCAGCAACTGCTTTGGAACTTACTCCCTTCTTATGGGATGCTTTCCCTCCTGCTTCCTGTAGTATTTACTGGCAGTCTGCATTAGGCGCAGCTTACCCCTGGTACCCAAATGTGGGGGTTTTCTCATTATGATGTGATAAATGTTTTTGCTTTTTAAAAAAGAACCCCAAAACAAAAAACAAATACAAACAAAAAAAGACAGCCCTGGAGAGGCAGGTCTTAGCTGTGTGCTCATTCTCCCTCTGAATAAAACTAGAGAGTCTAGCACGAGTTACCCTGTTACTCAGGGCTTCACATCCGATGAAATTACTTTGTACATGCTAGTAGAGCAATTTATAACCCAGTTAAGAACTGTGCTTCAAGGCAGAATTTCTGATGGATGTATTTTGTTTCTCTGCAGCACTCCATATACATGCATATGTATGAATGTGTGGGTTGATGTTTTGTGTTTGTGGGAACTCTGTGTGTGTCTTATGACACACTTAACATGACCATCTATTCTTAGGTTTATTAAAACATCCAACACCTGTATTCCTCATAGCCTTTGAGTTTGTCTCCCCTGATCAGGAAGGAGTTGTCACCCTAACAGGTGAAGATTGTGGGTGTCATTGTCACTCAGTGCAAGCCCTTCTATCTTTCTTCATTCAGGCCAGAGATCTCTTGAAAAGTTGAGCTTCTGTGCTGTTAAAGATTGTGGTAGGAGGTTCTGCCAAAGCACTTGTTCTATAGTGCTTGCCCTGTCTGCAAAGTCTCCCCAGTGCTCAGAACTTAAGGAGCGATGGGTCAAGTGAAGAAGGTAACCAAGAAATCATGGTGGTTTTGATCTGTATATGTCTGTTCTTTCTAATTGTAAAGACGTTGTCCTACGTCTTAAGCTCTGGCCTGAGGGAAAGCTTTGACAGTTGGAACTTGTCCTTTTAGATTCTTCATGCTGTCTGTGAACCTGTTCAGTCACCCCAGGACTCTTTCTAGAATAGCTCTCCTGCCAATTCTGAGTCTTCTAGGCCAGGGCCGCTGTGGACTATAGACTCGCCAGTTTCTTTCCTACCATGCCCTCATGATATATTTTTCTTTCTGCCGCACATGTCAAAATGTGGCAGTAGCCTTGCTTGTTGTCAGGGATGGAATAGTGGGAGTAGCCAGTAAGGGAGAAGCTGAAATTCAGCTGTGGAGGTCTTTTTGTAAATAGAGACTGGCAGGCTCCTCCACTGGCTCATGAGCAGGGCCCTTTTCACAGCTGCCCTGTTGGAAATACTGGGGTCCTGTCACTTCCTGGTCTTGGCATCTCTGAGGCCCAGGAAGGATGTGAAAACATGCTCCCTCCTTGTCACCTGCTGTTCGAAACCTCATGGCCTGTGACATGGAGAACTTGAAGAACTAGTTTCTACGCTTCATTCTGGATTCTGTACAATAAACAGGCCTACAGACATGGCTGGCTTAGCCGGGACAGTTAACTTGTTTTGGTGACTGTATTTCATTGCATTTTGTACATAATATGTATTCAGTGTAGTGACTTCCACCCGAAGACCTTGGAACAGTCCAGGTCTTCGTGGCCCTAGGCCACATAGCTAGTTCTCTCCTTGGCTTGGCTACAGAATGCCTCTGCTTCTGGCAGCTGAAGGAACCAGGCCTCAAATGCAGTGTGTTGCTTGGTCTGAGAAGTAACTTGGCAGAGAAGGTGGCTTCCTGGGTCTTTCCCATGAGGACTTGTGACTGCACATTGTACAGTTGCTCCTGAGTTCAGTGAGTGAGCACAGGCAGGAAGCTGATGGGGAGGGATGTAAAGGGCACCGAGTTGTGTGAGGAACATGGACAGCATGGCTGTTGATCTGTCACAGGTGGTGCCTTCCTGCTTGACTTTATTTTGCACATTTTTTGGAAGTTCCCGTGATTAGTTCAGTCTTTTTGAGTTTTCTCACAGGTAAGAATCTCCCACCATGAATCCAGTCCTACAGGAGTGGATGCCCTTCCTGGAGCAGTTGATGCCTCAGGTTGGGGTGGCATGCTTGTTCTGCCTCCTGTCTCTGGAGTTTAAAACCACAGCTCTGTTTTGCCCTCATCGTGGTGTGTGGGCAGTACCTGGCATAGGTGTGCTCACAGTGGGCACTTAGTAGGGATCCGCTGGAGTTAACTGTCAAAAACCAAATGAGAATCAATTAAATGTTGGACTTGATATGGACGAACAGAAATACAGCAACCATAAGGCCGACAGAATAAGCAGCCATCTTAAGCAGAGAGAGAACGGTATGAATTGGCGAATGGGTTTTACTTGAAATTCCGGTACTCATGCTTGGCTTATACTCTGTGATCTTGTGTTGACACTTGGTGATGCTCGTGCTGGCAGCAGCCCTAGCGGCACATTTATTTTTAACTTCTTTAGTGAGATCTGGGTTGGAAACCTAACACCACAGATTCAGCCACTAAAACTGAGCATTCAGATTGCCTGACACTGTAAAACTAAAATGTGAAAGGAGTGTGAGCCACACAAAAACTAAATGCCTCTACGAAGCGGTAACTGCTTAAATAGTGCATGCTATGTGTGCTTCTCCTGACAGCACAAGAAGCAGGCGCCCTGGCGAGGCTGAGGGACCTTGTTCTTAGGAGATGCCTTTGGGTTCTTTTAATTCTCTTTCACATTTGTATGTATTTGTTTGTTGCAGATTTAAGAAACTAGTTCTTGAGGCTAACATGGGCTGATTGCTTACCGTCTCAGCTACACACGCTGTTTGCTCAGTCACTATGTGCGGCTGCAGTATATGTTACTCCCCCAAGGCCTTGACCACATGCTGCTGAGTAACCTAATATGTGCTGTTAAATTGAAAACATGATTAGAGTTTAGAAACTTCATTTATAGTTAGTAACATGAAATTTAAGGAATTTAGTGACTATACAAACTATTTAAATGCAATTTTGGAAACATCTCACAACTTAACTAGTGCTTGCTACATTATGGATGAAATTTAAATTTTGTAGGAAAAATACCATAATTTGGGATTCTTTTGTTAGCCCAAGGCTCTCATCCTACAGCACTTCTGGTTGCTATTTTGTTAACCAGTCAGTGTTCTTCTTTTAAAATTTTGTTATTTTAAACTTTAATATTCCAACCAATCTACACAAAACATAACAGCAGA